TTTGGTTTATTTACATTTTTATAGTGTGTTTTGAATGTAGGGTGTCTGATTTCATGACTTCCTTCATTAGAGTTTCATACTGGTAAAGCACAGCAACATTTGCACACTATATATTCTCAAACACACTTGAATTTGATTCTTATCACAAATGACGTTCTGAGCAAAATGCGGAGTTATTTTTGTACTATGCTTGTACTAAATTAACTTAAGATGCTTTATGATCTACATTTATTCATTTAGCATATGCATTTATGCAAAGCAAATTATCTGTCACTGCATACACCAGACGATTTATTCATATGTGTTTCCATTTTTTAACAATTATTCTCTTTTAAGTCAGAAACAAAATGTAAAACTTATTTTAGCACAGTCGTTGACAGATAAGAAGCCAGTTCTTTAATGTTATCCGAGACTCAACAGGATTGATTAGCATTTACACTACAAATGCAGTGGAGTCCCATGCATTTTTGACCACCTTTGAATGTGGTTTGAGTGATCACAAAATGTTTTGGATCCTGTATAGGATCATCAGACATGAATGTTAATACCAGGTGAAAATGGGATCTAAAACAGAGAGGACTCGTATATTGACTCACCTGTATTCTGCACTGCATTCAGGTAGTTGTCATCACCATTCACCTGCAGGGAGGGAAAAAGGGAAACGAGTTCAAATGCAGAAAGCTGACAGAATTATGAACTGATTTGTTCAGAACACTAAAGTGTCTGTTTTTCTGGAAAAGTGAAGTTTTATCTTTTTAGACGTGACACATTTGAACAGCGGTACGTTCTGTTTCTGCCTACCCTACTGCTTGCCTCAAAGTAAGCTGTGAGAGTCACTTCTGACAGGGAAGCAAGATAATATCTGTTAATATTTTAACTGACATTTTATTTCTGTGTTTTTTGTTCTGCACTGCTACTGAAGTGCAATTAGCAGATGAGTTAGTATTTTAATCTTTAAAAGTAACTGCTGTCTTACAATGAAAGACAGGACTGGGATGTGAATAAGATATGGA